CCTGGCAGGCTCAGCCACTAGAACAGCAGTCCTGTCTTCTGCCAGTGCAGATGAATAAGATGGTTGAAGTTATGCAATGTCCTGAATTGCAGAAGGGAGCTAACTGGAGGTGAAGAACAGGAATCCAGAAGAAAGGGCATCCATCGTTTGTAGTGTCAACAAGGACAATGGTTACACCAATGTTCCTGGGTCCAGAGAAAGCATGGCAGAACTGAGCCCACCTGCAGGAGAGGTTGAGCAAAAGCAAGGCCAAGCGAGGATACTGGAGTAAAGGCAATGTATTGCTCTGGCAGGAGTCCCTTGTTTCCAGAAAATAATGGTGACGTGCCCCTGCAGGTAAAAGCGTAAGGGGACGCTCAGGAGGATAAGGGGAGATGTTGAGGAAGAACCTTGTTAAAATGGAAGGGAGGAGGTCACCCATGAATGGTAGATATTTTATATTGAATCCCTGAAACAAACGTGAGATTCCTTATGAGGAAATGGACCTCCGAAATGGAAACGCATGATTTCAAGCCAGCCTTCTGACATTTTTGCATCTGTATAGTGATGTTTGAATGTTGCTGTGTTGGAGGCACTGCTATTTCTCATCAGGCTGTGAGGAGCAGCTGTATGTTTCTGATGATACTCTGTTTGCTGGCTAATTAAAAACTGGCATCAGGACAGTGGCTCTACAGTCATAGGGAGAAATTATTTTCATACCTGTTTCAATCTTTTAAAAATATACAACAGATGCTTCCTCCATTCTCTGCTGCCAAGCCACAGGGAACCCCAAACATAAAAAGAAAATCCCAGTTTCAGGCAGCACTGTAGACCCATCACCATGGCTGAAATAGTGGTGTGGACAAGACAAGATCCTGTCTTGTGCAGGGTTTCCCTAGTAAAGCGAGAGGGTTGTCCAGGGTTTTGATCTCATCTCATTTAACTCTGTTTTCTCAGCCTATTGGAGCTAGTTAGGGTTTTTTAAGGGAAAGCATCAAAACTGTTGATTTGCAACTGGTGAATTTTTTTCTCACACTTGTGTCAGCTAAATATTTATTCAGCTAAACTTCTGTCAGGAAATCTTTCTTGGCTCCAGAAGAGAATTCTTTATCAAAACTGAAAAAGAAACCAATGTAAACTAAAAATCTTTTGGAACAGGAATATTGTTTTGGGTCCTGGTCTTGCTGTGACTTTCAAAACTTCCCTTGAAAATGTACCTCTGTATCCTGTAGTTCTTCTAAACAGCAGATAGAGATAGAAATAGGCAGCAACAGGTATCTGTAAAGTACAAACAGCACATTTAATGTATATGTTCTTGAACTGGCCTAGTAGTGTTTTCAGGTTCCAGCATCATCAACTATCTGAGAGGACAACTGAACTCATGTGATTTCTCCCATTACTTCTCTTCATATTGGCAAATATAAATACTTCTGACATTTCATTCATTTTTTTCTGGCCCTATTCAAGTATTAAGTTACCATCTGGTTACTCAGCTGTTCCCACTGGATAAACCAAATAAATGGGTTTTGACACTTGGTATTCAGTACTCTTTACTGCAGTTCTCTTCAAGTAATTCTTGACATCTGTATTTTATTTGGCATTTTTCTTCTGGCTCATAAGATCAACTTTCCTTTTCCCTCAACACTTTCAATATGCTAGCAGACTTGTAAGGAATGTCTCATGATTATTTTCCTAGGGAGCTGCACTATTTTAGAAAAATCCATGTTTTACCTGTAGCTAAAATCCTACCTGGTAACATTTGTAGCATGGAGTT